GAGAAACAACCTAAAATAAACAACACACACAATGAACAGGTCATCTGTAAAGAACTAAGAATCATATTTATATCCTCATACTCACACCAATACCCATGCAATAATTTCAAAAGTTAACCCCTCTCTCTGAATTAAAGCTATAATTAAAATCAGAATTAAAGGTACAATTAACATAACAAAGGAAAAAACTGTAGGATAATATTTGTCTTCATCTAGATGGGGAAGTATTATAACTTTCTAAACATGAAAAGCATGAAAAACTTGCAAAAGAAAATATAAATTTAACAAAATAAGACATTGTATATCAAAAACATTTTTTTTAAAGAAATATAAGTTAAATAGCAAACTGGCAAAAAAACTATTAACATATCTAACAAAATAGTTTAATATGTAAAACATTCATATAATTAATATATATAAAACATTTATATAAGTAGGTAAAAAAACACCCTAGGACTCTATTAGAAAAAAAGCAGGCAAAGGATATGTACCAATATATAAGATGAAATCCAAATGATTGATATTTATGAAAAAAATCAAAATCAACCTTAGTGGTAAATTGAAGAAATGTAAATTAAAACTTGCTCTAACTTTTTAACTTAATGAATTAGCAAAATATATATTTTTTCAAAGTAAAGTTGGTTAGTGTTGAGGATGTAAAATATGTTTTTTCTGGAAAGCTTTGGCAATGTGTATTAAAGATCTTAAAATATTTCAATTCTATAATTTCATTTATAAGTATCTAATCTAAAAATTTTTATTCAATATTTTACATGATGTACTGTTTTAGATACTGAAATGCAGACTACATATTTAAGTAAAAGTGATTACTAATAATTATGGAAAAGTGAAAACAAAATAGCTGTCCACTAATGGGGGAAAGTTCAATCACTTGTCCACATAGAGTAGAATTTTTTCAGTTATCAACTATATTATTCTTATAAATTATTTTAAGCAAGTAGTAGATTTTCTGAGAAAAAAATTGATTAAACATAGTGCTTAGATATTGACTGTCAGAAGAAACAATGGCTAATGTCTGAGGCACTTTGTCAACAATCCCCCAGTTAAAGTAATAGATTTGAAATACACATGCAACAGGAAAGACAAACAGGCTGTCCTGTTGTCCTACAATTTGGGCAAGGGCTGCAGTGAAGGGGACTGTTAAACTTATTCAGCTTCATTTCTTAATTGCCTTAGTTTAACACCCCACAACAAATACACAGCAAGAAGCTTAGGAGGCATTATTTCTAAAAGACCCAAAGAAAGACTTTCTAATTTCCAGAAATCCATTAATTTCAGGGGATCAGGTATTATTTTTTAAATTATTCTGGTAAAAAGAAAATACTTTTCTGTTATTGTCAGAACTGTCAAGTTTTCTTAGATGAAGAATTCTACCTTATTGTGGTTACTGTGGATAAGGATAAAATGAAAGAGTATCAAGTGACAGTGTAATTATTCTCTACTGGTAGCTGTGGCTCCAGTTGAGAGAAGCAAGAAGTAGTCTCACAACAAAAGCAACCATTGAAGACTCATAAAGAAGTGACACTTTTGGTTAGAACACTGAAGGATCACTCTGTCATTGTACCTGGCAAATTCTAAGCAGTTTTGTTTGGACAAAGTCACACTTATAAATTGTGGTATTTCCTTTTGATGTGCAACAGCTGAAGACTATATATATATAAGAAGACATTGCATCATTCTTTCTAGAATCCTTAGAAATGTAGTTATAAAACAACTAAAGCTTATTTTACTTGTATATTCAAAAGGAAATGGAGATTTCTGTGATTTTCATAGTTAGCATTTTGTTATTTCTTGAGAGAAAGACCCTCAGTGTGGTATTTAAGTTTCTGATGTTTAATTATCCTTCTAAATTGTCTCACTTTTCTCTCTTCATTTCTTTACAGTAAGCTTTCTTATAGAAAAAAAGAAACATTTTATTTTACATTCCAAAATATAAAGAATTTATGATAAAATCATTGTAGAATAATTTTTAAGATTAAAAAATTAGAATGAAATTGGAAGACTATCATATGATACAGGTAATCTTGTCACTTGTACACCCACAGTGTCTCACTTGAGTAGTGACAGCTTTAAGTAGGAAAGGAAGGCAAACTGGATCCTTGGGTTCTTCTATAAGGAAGATAAAGTGAGCACACGCTGGAGTGTCTAGATGTCCTTGGGGCCTCACAGTATACTGTTGTTGGATCCTCTGACAGTCATTGACTGTATGTCTGGGAAAAGGGAGATGTAATAGTCAGTGGTGACTATGATAACACATTATTGCCTTGGTAGAAATAAAGACATCTAAAGGAGAAACTTAGTTTCAGGAGAAAGATCATCAATTTGTATTAACCCAGTTGACTTTCAGGGGCTCAGTGGGCCATCCAAGATGGAGAAGGAAAGCAGAAACTTAGGAGAGAGTCAGTTACTGGAGGAAGCTGTGACAATAAATAACAGGTTTAAAGGGAAACGGTGTGGTTCTAACAGAAGCCCTGAATATAAATAGGAAATTTAAAGAGAGAAAGAAAGTTAAGAGAGAGGAAAATTTAACTTTGAGATGTCTGCATGTTTGAGGAAGAAGAGGAGGTAGAACCCAGGAGAAAGAAAAGAACCAGAGAGTTAAAAGAAGTATCAGTGCCCTAGAGGTTGGAGACGTTTTAAGAGGAAGGAGGAGGTTTTCTGTGAACCAGTGGTGTGGAGAGGTGAAGTGTAACTCCTGGAGCAGAAGTTGGGAGGCAGTTTGACAATTTACAAAGAACAATGTCAGTAGAAAGGTGTGGGCAAGTACCTGGGGTTTGTGGGTGGTGGGGTTGGGGCAGACAGAGAGAGAGGAGGCTGAGAGGAGGGAGAAAGGGAGTACGGACAGTAGCTTAAATTAGGAAAGAGATTCATAACTGTTGTTTTAATAAAGAAAAACAACTGATTATTTAATTGAACATAGTCCTGGAGCAAGTGAGACGTGTTGATTTAAGGAGTTCAAATGGAGAAATTAGCCCTGGAAAGCAGTTTTCTCTTCCCCTGAGAGGAGGGAGAACAGTAAGAAAGATGGGTATAATCAAGAGGAAACAGAGGGAAGTGCGTGCCAACTCATTTAATTATGTAATAAAAATGTTTTTAGTGCCTGCAATATATAAGATACCAATATCCTTGGTAAATACAATGCTTAACAAGATACAGATCATGTTGTCGAAATACTTTTATATGGAAGATAAGTCAAGAAAAGACATAATTCTAGCCACTGAAAACACAAGCTATTAATTATAAATTTCTCTATACCTTGGTTTCTTCCTTCACAAAATGGGGATAATGATAGTACCAACTTTAGTTGTGAGTTTTGAATGGGATACTATAAAATGCTTCATAAGGGGCCGGGCTAAATGAAGTGCTAAATAATGGCACTGTTCACATTATATAAGGTAGAAGTGATAACTGCCAAAAGAACTACAGGATATGAAAGATATGCAGTTTTGTCAGGACAGTAAAGGAAGATGAAGGGTCAAGTTCATACACTTGGGAAGGAGTGGAACTTAAGAACTGAGAAAGAAGGGAAAGTTTGGGAGGGAGAATGTAGGAGGAGAGAAACAGTTTGAAGTTGAATAATAGCATAAAGTTAAAACTCGGGAAGATTTCAAGGTATCAGTAAAATAGGCGCTTTGCTTAAAAACTATCCCTAGTTTAAAAAATCTATTTCGAAGCATCCCAATCTCTTTTGCGCTTCCCTTTCCTAGAGTCCTAACATAATTATTTGACCAAATAGAGAACTCTTGCTCACAAACCTCCCTCAAGTTCCCATTTCCTTTTTTATCCAGGATAGATTTAATGGTTCGTTCTCCATTCAACCCATCAACAACTTTATCCCTTTCTCACTGCGGTATACTTGCCTGGAACCTTACTATCTGCTTTCTTCATATCCTTTGAATGGCCCTTCTCTATGGGGAAAATTCCTGTCAGGCTAGCTGGGTCCGTAGAGGGCTGCTACCAGTTGTGCAAGGGATGGGGACAAATACTGCAAAGTCCCACAGTGTGAGTTAAGGAAACACATCATCTTTGTGTTTTGTTATTTCTGTACCATTCATTCTTTTTTCTCTAACTCTAATTTGCTGCCTTTATCATTTGATGTATAGTTTTTTCAGTCGTTCTTTCTTTTCCTTTTAATGCAATGAAATATGCTTCTTAGTTGTAGTTAATGCTTTTCACCCTAAACCATATTTGTAAATGAACATAGCAGAAATTTGTGAAAATCATCATGCCTTGAGTTATCACAATGAGCTATTCTGATGGGTATGAGACCAGCACCCAGGTTCTGAAAAGATTAACTTTACTCAAGAGATTCCCTTAAGCCCCCTCCACAACTCATTTTTTCCCCAAGATATCCACTACTCTGACTTCGAACAGTAGATTATGACACTCTAGCCAAAAGGCCTAGAAGCGATTCAAACATAGATTGCTTTGCCTCCTTTTCATCTTTATGTAAATGGAATTATGTAATAGGTATTCTTCTGAGTCTTGATAATTTTACTCAATACTGATCTTTATAAAACTGCATTTTCATGTGGCTTTTGTTTGTATTCATTGCTATATGGTATTCTGTTGTGTGAATATACTGCAGTATACTTATTCGTTTTATTGCTGATGGATATTTGAGTTGTTTACAGTGTTTGGCTACCAGAAACAAGGTTGTTACAAACATTATTGGATGTGACTTTCCGCACCACATTTCCTAGGCATGTGGAACAGTTGGATCACAGCACATGAGTATGTTCACTTTTAGAAGATGCCATCAAAATAGTTTTCCAAAGTGATTATAGTGCTTCATATTCTCTGTAGTAGGGTATGAAAATTCTCACTGTTCCATTTCCACACCACCCTTGAATTATCAATCTTATAAAATTTTAACTTCTCTTTGTAATATTAGTATTCCATTCTGGCATTTAATTTATAGATGCCTAATAATTTTTTCCAAATATTAATTTTCAACCTCTGTGTATTCTTTCTTTTAGATTTTGTTCTAAACACTGAGGACATACTCTGCTACATTTGGGTCACCCCCCCCTGCCCAGGTCTGAGTAATTCAATAGACTTTAAGAAGACAGAGCCCAGCAGCAACTGAAACATAAGAGTTGCAGGGTCAGCTAACGTCAATGCCTGGGCAAAGTTGCTGCCCAGAGTGGAATCTCCCTGGTGAATAAACAAGCCTGAGAAAGATTATCATCTCATTTGCAAAAAAAATAGGCTTAGGCTGGTAGATCCTGCTACCTCATAGATACACCAACCTAGTTTTTTTTAAAAGTAGCATTTTCCTACATCATCAACTACATAGAACATACCTAAACACTGGGCGTTTACTGCTAATTAAATGGAAACTATGAAGTCTAAGGCCAACTGTGCCCAGAATCCAAACTGTAACATAATGATATTTTATCCAACCAAAGAAGAGTTTAATGATTTTGATAAATATATTGCTTACATGGAATCCCAAGGTGCACACAGAGCTGGCTTGGCTAAGATAATTCCACCTAAAGAATGGAAAGCCAGAGAGACCTATGATAATATCAGTGAAATCTTAATAGCCACTCCCCTCCAGCAGATGGCCTCTGGGCGGGCAGGGGTGTTTACTCAATATCATAAAAAGAAGAAAGCCATGACCGTCGGGGAGTATCGCCATTTGGCAAACAGTGAAAAATATCGGACTCCACCACACCTGAATTTCGAAGATTTGGAGCGAAAATACTGGAAGAACCGCATCTATAATTCACCAATTTATGGTGCTGACATCAGTGGCTCCTTGTTTGATGAAAACACTAAACAATGGAATCTTGGGCACCTGGGAACAATTCAGGACCTGCTGGAGCAGGAATGTGGGGTTGTCATCGAGGGCGTCAACACCCCCTACTTGTACTTTGGCATGTGGAAGACCACGTTCGCTTGGCACACGGAGGACATGGACCTTTACAGCATCAACTACCTGCACCTTGGGGAGCCCAAAACATGGTACGCAGTGCCCCCAGAACATGGCCAGCGCCTGGAGCGCCTGGCCCGGGAGCTCTTTCCAGGCAGTTCCCGGGGCTGTGAGGCCTTCCTGCGCCACAAGGTGGCCCTCATCTCCCCTGCCGTTCTCAAAGAGAACGGGATTCCCTTCAATCGCATGACTCAGGAGGCTGGGGAGTTCATGGTGACCTTTCCCTATGGCTATCATGCAGGCTTCAACCATGGCTTCAACTGTGCAGAGGCCATCAACTTTGCCACTCCACGATGGATTGATTATGGCAAAGTGGCCTCTCAGTGTAGCTGTGGGGAGGCGAGGGTGACCTTTTCGATGGACGCCTTTGTGCGCATCCTGCAACCCGAGCGCTATGAGCTGTGGAAACGTGGGCAAGACAGGGCAGTTGTGGACCACATGGAGCCGACGGTACCGGCCAGTCAAGAGCTGAACACCCAGAAGGAAGTCAAGTTGCCTAGGAGGGCAGCGTTGGGACTGAGACAACTCCCGCCCCACTGGGCCCGGCATTCCCCTTTGCTTATGGCTGCCCGCAGTGGGACTCGCTCCCACACCCTTGTGTGCACTTCACTCCCACGCCGATCTGCAGTCAGTGGCACTGCTGCGCAGCCCAGAGATGCTGCTGTCCACAGCTCTGGGAAGCCCAGATCAACTCTATCATCCACCCCTGGTCCATCTGCACAGATTATCCACCCGTCAAATGGCAGACGTGGTCGTGGTCGCCCTCCTCAGAAACTGAGAGCTCAGGAGCTGACCCTCCAGATTCCAGCCAAAAGGCCCCTCTTGCTGCATACGACTTGCACAGCTTCGGGCCCAGAACCTGAGCCCCTGCCTGAGGATGGGGCTTTGATGGACAAGCCTGTACCACTGAGCCCAGACCTCCAGCATCCTGTTAAGGCTTCTGGGTGCAGCTGGGCTTCTGTGCCCTAAGCCCATGGGCTGCCTTTATATCTACTGCTCTGCTGTGTGGAAATTTGATGAAATTGGTTACATTTACATACCAGAACTTTGGTTGAGTTTGCAGGACTGTGGTCATGCATGAAAGAGCCCCTCTGGTGATGCCCTTGGATGCTGCCAAGTCCATGGTAATTTTCAATTTTGCCATATTTTGTTCTTCCTACCGGCCCCTGGAATGTCTTTGGATATTGCTAAAATCTATGTCTGCGGCTGTGGTTTTATCCACTGGACACATTTGTGTCTGGGAACTAGGTTTTGCTGAGATTAGTGTAACCTGGTATACACAACTACCATCCTCTGGACCAACTATGGAAGCTGCTGCATTTGTGAAGAATCCTGAGCTTTGATTCCTCTTTAGTCTCCCCATTTGTTTCTTCCCCTCCCTACCCCCTTTTTCTCATAAAACTAGGCCCTTTTTACAGATAAGGTCAGTAGAGTTCCAGAATAAAAGATATGACTTTTCTGAGTTATTTATGTACTTAAAATGTGTTGTCACCAGTATTTGTTCCCAAAAATATTAAAAGTAACCAAAATGTTGAAATCTGATTTTATTTCAGATATCGTGTTTTCAGCCTGTGTGCATATGTGAGTGGGTGTAGATTATTCTTTGTGTATTTTTCTTCATAGTTGTTTGAAAAAGTTTATGGCATTGTGTGGTGGTGAATGAGCTTAGGGGATGGTTGTAGCATTATGGCTGTCTGGCTGGGTAGGGGGGCTGGGTTCAGTCCATTCTCATATTGCTATAAATAAAAACCGGAAACCGGGTAATTTGTAAATAAAAGAAGTTTAATTGGCTCACAGTTTCACAGGCTGTACGGGAGGCACATAGACCAATGGAACAGCATAATGAGCCCATGCATTTATGGTCACTTGATCTTTGTTAAAGGTGCCAAGAACACACAATGAGGAAAGGACAACCTCTTCAGTAAATGGTGCTAGCCAAACTGGATAATCCACATGCAGAAGAATGAAATTAAATCCTCATGTCATACCATATGCAAATATCAACTCTAAATAGTTAAAAGAGTTAAAACATACCAGAAACTGTAAAACTAGAAAAAAAACGGGAAAAACTTCCTTTTTTTTGGTGCAGTGCAAATTTTTTATTTTTTTATTTTAATTTTTTATTTCCATAAGTAATTGGGGAACCGGTGGTGTTAGGTTACATGAGTAAGTTCTTTAGTGGTGATTTGTGAGACTTTGGCACATCCATCACTCAAGCAGTATACACTGCACCCAATTTGTAGTCTTTTATCCCTCATTCCCTTCCCACCATTTCCCCTTGAGTCTCCAACATTCATGGTGTCATTCTTATGCCTTTCCATCCTCGTAGCTTAGCTTTTACTTAGTGAGAACATAGTATGTTTGGTTTTCTATTCCTGAGTTACTTCACTTAGAATAATAGTCTCTAAGCCCATCCTGGTTGTTGCAAATGCCATTAGCTCATTCCTTTTTATGGGTGAGTAGTATTCCATCATATATACATATACCACAGTTTCTTTATCCATTTGTTGATTGATGGGCATTTGGGTTGGTTCCACATTTTTACAATTGCAATTTGTGCTGCTATAAATGTGCATGTGCAAGAATCTTGTTTTCCTCTGGGTAGATACTTAGTAGTGGGATTGCTGGATCAAATGGTAATTCTACTTTTAGTTCTTAAAGGAATCTCCACACTGTTTTCCATGTTGGTTGTACATTCCCACCAGCAGTGTAGAAGTGTTCCCTCTTCACCACACCCACACTAACATCTATTATTTTTTGATTTTTTTTATTATTGCCATTCTTGTGGGAGTAAATTGGTATTGCATTGTGGTTTTGATTTACATTTTCCGAATCATGTGTGATGCTAAGCATTTTTTCATGTTTGTTGGCCATTTGTGTATCTTCTTTTGAGAATTGTCTATTCATGTCCTTAGCCCACTTTTTGATGGCTTTTTTTTTTTTTTTTTTTTTTTGCCAATTTGAGTTTGTTGTAGGTTCTGGAAATTCGTCCTTTGTCAGATGTATAGAGTGTGAAGATTTTCTCCCACTCTATATGTTGCCTGTGTATTCTGCTGACAGCTCCTTTTGTCATGCAAAAGCTCTTTAGTTTAATTAAGTTTCAGCTGTTTATCTTTGTTTTTATTGCATTTGCTTTTGGGTTCTTGGTCATGAATTCCTTGCCTAAGCCACTGTCTAGAAGTGTTTTTCCAATGTATCTTCTAGAATTTTTATAGTTTCAGGTTTTAAGTCCTTGCTCCCTCTTGGCTTTTTTGTATAAGGTGAGAGATGAGGATCCAGTTTCATTCTCCTACATGTGGCTTAACAATTATTCCAGCACCATTTGTTGAGTAGGGTGTCCTTCCCTCATTTATGTTTTTGTTTGCTTTGTTGAAGATCATTTGGCATTTGGGTTTATTTCTGGGTTCTCTATTCTGTTCCATTGGTCTAGGTGCCTTTTTTTGTACCAGTATCATGCTGTTTTGGTGACTATGGTCTTGTAGTATAGTTTGAAATCGGGTAATGTGATGCCTCCAGACTTGTTCTTTTTGTTTAGTCTTGCTTTGGCTATGTGGTCTCTTTTTTTGGTTCCATATGAATTTTAGGATTTTTTTTTTCTGATTCTGTGAAGAATGGTGGTGGTATTTTGATGGGAATTGCATTGAATTTGTAGATTGCTTTTAGCAATGTGGTTATTTTTACAATATTGATTCTACCCAACCATGAGCATAGGATGTTTCCATTTGTTTGTGTCATCTGTGATTTCTTTAAGTAGGGTCTTGAAGTGTCTTTTATAGAGGTCTTTTACCTCCTTGGTTAGGTATATTCCTAAGTATTTTATTTTATTTGCAGCTATGGGTAAACAATCATATTATCAGCAAATCATACATACTATGTTCTTACTAAGTAAGAGCTAAGCTATGAGGATGTAAATATGATATCAAACAAATCGTATTATCAGCAAACAGTGACAGTTAGACTTCCTCTTTACCAATTTGGATGCCCTTTGTTTCTTTTTCTTGTCTGATTACTCTGGCTTGGACTTCCAGTACTGTGTTGAAGAGGAGTGGTGAGAATGGGCATCCTTGTCTTGTTCCAGTTCTCAGAGGGAACGTTTTCAACTTTTCCCCATTCATTATTATGTTGGCTGTGCATCTGTCATAGATAACTATTATTACATTCAGGTATGTCACTTGTATGCCACTTTTGCTGAGAGTTTTAATCATAAAGGGATGCTGGATTTGGTCAAATATTTTTTCCCATCTGTTGAGATGATCATGTGGGGTTTTGTTTGTTTGTTTGTTTCTGATTCTGTTTACATGATGTGTCACATTTATTGACTTGCGTATGTTAAATCACCCCTGCATCTATGGTATGAAACCCACTTGATCATGGTGGATTATCTTTTTTATATGTTGCTGGATTTGGTTAGCTAGTATTTCATTAAGGATTTTTGCATCTATGTTCATCAGGGATATAGGTCTGTAGTTTTCTTTTTTGGTCATGTACTTTCCTGGTTTTGGTATTACATTGGTACTGGCTTCATAGAATGATTTAGGGAGGGTTCTCTTTTTCTCTATCTTCTGGAATAGTGCCAATAGGATTGGTACCAATTCCCTTTTAGTGTCTGGTAGAATTCTGCTATGAATCCATCTGATCCTGGACTTTTTTTGTTGTTGGTATTTTTTAAATTACCATTTCAATCTCACTGCTTGTTGTTGGTCTGTTCACAGTATCTAATTCTTCCTTATTTAAGTTAGGAGGGTTATATCTTTCCAATAATTTATCCGTCTCTTCTGGGTTTTCTAGTTTAGGTGTGTAAATATGTTCATAGTAGTCTTGAATCATCTTTGGTATTTTTGCAGGGTCAGTTGTAATATCTCTCATTTCATTTCTAATTGAGCTCATTTGGATTTTCTCTCTTCCTTTCTTGGTTAATCTTGCTAACGGTCTATCAATTTTATTTTTCTTTTCAAAGAAACAGATTTTTGTTTCATTTATCTTTTGTATTTTTGTTGTTGTTGTTGTTTCAATTTCATTAGTTCTGCCCTGATCTTGGTTATTTCGTTTTTTCCGGTGGGTTAGCATTTGGTTCGTTCTTGTTTCTTTAGTTCCTTGAGGTGTGACCTTAGATTATCTGTTTGTTCTCTTTCAAACTTTTTGATGTAGGCATTTAGGGCTATGTTGCTCTTAGCACCACCTTTGCTGTATCCTAGAGGTTTTGATAGGTTGTGTCACTATTGTTGCTCAATTTGAATAATTTTTAAATTTCCATCTTGATTTCATTTTTGACGCAATGATCATTCAGGAGCAGGTTATTTAATTTCTGTGTATCTGCATGGTTATGAAGGTTTCTTCTTGACATGGTTTGGGTAAAGATTTTTAGGATATGACCTCAAAAGCACAGTGACAAAAGCAAAAGTAGACAAATGGGATTACATCAAACTAAAAGGCTTCTGCACAGCACAGGAAGCAATGACACAATAAACAGATGAAGAGACAACATGTGGAATGGGAGAAAGCATTTGGAAGCCATACATGTAGTAACAGGTTAGTATCTAAAACATATAAGGAACTCGATAGTAAGAAAACAATCCAATGAAAATGCACCAAAGAACATGAATAGACATTTCTCAAAAGAAAACATACAAAGGGTGAAAAATATATGAAAAAGTGTTCAACATTACTAACCGAGTATGAATTAAGCCCACAGTGAAATATCTCCTCATGTCTGTTAGAATCCTATCACCTTAAAAGACAATAGATAAATCTTGGGAAGATGCAGAGAAAAGGGAACATTTGTACACTGTTGGTGAGAATGTAAAATTAATGCAGGCATTATGGAAAACAGTATGGCTATTTCTCAAAATACTAAACATAGAACTACTTTTCACATGCAAAAGAATGAAATTAGGCCCTTATGCCATACATGAAAGTCAACTCAAAACAGATAAAAGACATAAATTTAAGACCAGAAACTGTAAAACTTCTAGAAGAGAACCTAAAGGAAAAGCTCCTGGACACTGGCCTTGGCAATAATTTTTTGGATATCACACTGAAAAGTTAGGTCACAAAAACAAGTGGATGGCAAAAGAAAATGCTTCTGCACAGCAAAGGAAGCAATCAACAATATGAAATAGCAGCTTATAGATTGGGAAAAAATATTTACCAACTATGTATGTGAAAAGGAATTAATATCCAAAATTTAGGCCAGGTGTTGCAATGTCTCAAACCTATAATCCCAGTGCTTTGGGAAGCTGAGGTGAGAGGTGTTTGAGACCAGTCTGGGCAACATAGTGAGACCCCCCCACCCCATTTCCACAAAGTAATTTAAAAATTACTTTGGTGTGCTGGCCGGTGTAGTGCACGTCTGTAGTCCTAGTTACTCAGGAGGCTGAGGTGGAAGTATTGCTTGAGTCCAAGAGTTTGAGGTTATAGTTAAGTACAATCGTGCTACTACACTCCAGCCTGGGCAACAGCAAATGTTGACAAGAGTATGGAGAAAAGGAAACTCTTGTATACTGTTAGTAGGAATATAGATTGGTCCAGCCATTATGG